CATGGAAAACAAAATTGCAGATAAGGGTAGGGGTCACGTGCTTCCACAATATGACCCCTCCACATGGGCTCCTGCATCTCAGCCCTGCCATGGCTGTGCAATGCACACATTTGCTTTGTAGCGCTGCCAGATCAAGTTTCCGCTAAACACAGCCTTCAGGATGACGCTCTCAGCTGTCCTCAGGTAGAGTCAGTGTATTAGTAACCAGTGCCCAGACCCCTCAAGGAACTCTGTGAGTGTTCCTGCTGTTGAGCCCCCAGGTGCCCTGACTCCCAGTGCCCTGCTCAGAGGGAACGTGGTGTTTGACTCTCCCGGGGAGTTGCATGCAGGCAAAAATGGTCTCATGCTTTGGGTGCCTTCCGGCCAAGCCTGCTTTTCCAGCCAAGCCTTCTTCCTCTGTTTAGCAGTCAGAAATCAATCTTTTCTAAACCTCTTGGCCAAATTCATCAGTCCCTCTATTAAATTATGACTAAAATGGCTCAAGGATGCCGGGGAGGAGCAAGTCTCCGGTGGAGTTAGTGCCAACCAGGCTGTGTCCAGTCGCTGTCCAGGCTTTTGCTATGCCTTGCTCAGGAGGTGCTCGGTTGGCTTCGTTCAGTTTGCTTTGGGAGAGTTTATTTGAATAGCAGGATCATTAACAAAAGCAGCTTTGTGGGACTGGTTGGAGCTGATTGTCATATTCCCACTGTCCAGCTGACTGTCCAATTACTGTACCCTGATGCAAAGCAGAGGTGCCTGGCCAGTCAGAGCACTGGCTCTCACTCCATGCTGCAGGTACACGCACCCTCGCCCATGCTGCAAGCACACACACCTCTCCCCCATGCTGCAGGCACATAGAGCCCTCCCCCATGCTGCAGGCACATAGAGCCCTCCCCCATGCTGCAGGCACATAGAGCCCTCCCCCATGCTGCAGGCACACACAGCCCTCCCCCATGCTGCAAGCACACACACGCCTCCCCCATGCTGCAGGAACACTCCTCTCCCCCATGCTGCAGACACACCCCCCTTCCCCATGTTACAGGCACACACCCCTCCCCCATGCTGCAGGCACACACACCCCTCCCCCATGCTGCAGGAACACTCCTCTCCCCCATGCTGCAGGCACACACCCCTCCCCCATGTTACAGGCACACACCCCTCCCCCATGCTGCAGGCACACACACCTCTCCCCCATGCTGCAGGAACACTCCTCTCCCCCATGCTGCAGGCACACACCCCTCCCCCATGTTACAGGCACACACCCCTCCCCCATGCTGCAGGCACACACACCTCTCCCCCATGCTGCAGGAACACTCCTCTCCCCCATGCTGCAGACACACCCCCTCCCCCATGCTGCAGGCACACACCCCTCCCCCATGCTGCAGGCACACACCCCTCCCCCATGTTACAGGCACACACCCCTCCCCCATGCTGCAGGCACACACCCCTCCCCCATGCTGCAGGCACACACCCCTCCCCCATGCTGCAGGCACACACCCCTCCCCCATGTTACAGGCACACACCCCTCCCCCATGCTGCAGGCACACACCTCTCCCCCATGCTGCAGGCACACACCCCTCCCCCATGCTGCAGGCACACACCCCTCCCCCATGTTACAGGCACACACCTCTCCTCCAGCTCCTGTCATTCATTCTCCAGGGAGGTGGCCCTGTGGGATCAGGAAGACATGGACTCGCCCTTCACCAGAGCTATAAATAATTTGCAAATCAACCTTGGATACTTCTGTGAAAATGTTCTAGAAGCCATTATCACTTGAAATGTAAGTGATATAAAATCATCAATACCACTTGACATGTAGATTTCTAGTCTTTGTGCCATAAAAATACCTGCTTCACTTCCCATCTGGTGGTTCCAGCACAGCCTGTCACGCCCATCAGAGCCCTTTGCCGTGGGACATCTGGGTTGCTTGGCGGCTCAAGATTTTCGTGTTATAAATAGTGCTGCAGCAAAAGCCTTGTCGGTACTGCCGCTCTGATTTGTTAGATTATTTTAGGATTCATTCTTAACAAGAAACTGCTGGGTCTCCAGGATGGGCTTTCCACATCACTCTCCCTCTCACTCCCGCACAGAGAAGTCCCAATGAGTGAGATTTGGAGCTGATTACATTTTTGACTCCTGTGACCTGAAAGTTCCCTTCCCTGATCTATAAACCAGGCAGCACATTGCGCACCCCTGTAGGTTCTCAGGGGCCACAGCCAGCAGGGACTTGGACCCACGTCTTTCTCAGGTACTAATTTAAGATGGAGGCTGTTACTGATCCCACCCTTGGGATGGCTTTTCCTGTAGGAGCACACCAGTGTCATCTGTATCCCAGAGGACTGATGAGTGAGAGCCAGGCCGTCATCCAGCAGGACCACCAGCACCTGTCCACATGCTGCAGGCTGGCCAGCCCTGACCCTAACCTTTCCCCAGCCTGCAGCCGGACTGAGCACAGCTCCTACCACCCGAGACTCTTCCCTGGACACCATGTGTCTGCATTTGCTGCTGTTCCTCGGCTGCCCAGCTGGTCTCCTCACCCTGCATCCCACAGCAACCTTTGGAGACTCTGCCTCCGTGTCGACTCCCACCTACTTACAGAGACATGGGAAGGCCCGTCTTGGTGCTCGGGTTTGGCTCTTGTGAGTCCCTCGTGTTTGGAGCGATCTTATCTCTCAATGGCGACTCCCCTGGGCCGTGGGAGCTGGTGGGCCTAAGCCTCCCATCTGGGAGTCTGAGTCTCTGATTCATACATCTGCCCAATGTTTCAGTTGTTTCGCATGGCAGGGGCATGGGAGTGCAGTTCTGGTGACTCCTTTGCAATTGGAGCAGAAGCTCTCCCGACAAGGAGAGAGCTAGGGTTCACGGACTCTGACCAGTCTCAAGGTCTGACACCCCCAAGTCCACACACCAGAGAGCTGAGCTGTGAGGCTATGCTGCCTTGTAGATAAGCTCTGTGCACAAGATCCAACTCAGGTATGTGCCTCCTCGTCCATCTCCCTCACATTCAGCGTGCCCACACCTCCAGCATTCCAGGCTCCGTATGCCCGAGACCAGCCTGGGCATCCTCCCCTGTACCTTCAGACAGCTTCTCTGCCTGGTGTTCTGCTGAGGATTCAGATCTCCAAGACAGCAGATGCGTGATGCTGTCAGCCACTGAGTCTCTGCACTTTGTTGCAACAGCAGAGACACACAGGCATAGGACGGTCCCAGTGCCAGGTCTGGTCCTGCGCATGCCCTGTGTGTCTGTCATCTAACTTCCCCACACCTCAGCTTCCTCATTTTGTTTAAGCAGATGATTGACATAAAAATACCCATTGGCAGGCATGCAGTGGGATTGGGGGACTCCTCAGTGTTTGCTCAGCTCTGCACGAGGGGCGCCATGTCACTGTCGCTGCTGCAGCCCCCTAAATCCTCTGACTCTCTCCCTCGTCCAGCAGCTGAGCCTCCCACTGGTGCATGGAAACCTGCAGGTCTAGGCCTGCGACTCCCTGTCTCCTGTGCTCCTCCCTGATCATCACTGGACCCTGCGGTGAGGGCTAGAACGTTTCACATCGCCTGGCCTCCTGGCTGTGTTCTGCCTCCTGCGTGGCCCTGGCTGTGTCAGTAACCTTTGAAAACCACCAGCTCCCTCCTCTCACGAGTATTGGGGCTGCTAGGGGGCAGTCCTTGGTGACTTGGAGTTTCCATGGAGACAGTAGGGGGTGCTTGTCATCTCTGTCTCCCTCTTCCAGAGCCAGGTGGAGTTTCTGAGCTGGAAGTGGCTTCAGCTGCCATTTATGGGCCTTAGTCAGGAAGGTGTGTGGCCACGCAGAGCAAGATGGATCAGCAGGTGGTCTGCAGCCTTGGCACCCATTAGCTGAAAAGTGTGAGAAAGCCCATCACCAACTCACTCAGCTAAGGGTCAGGGCTGAGGCCAGTCAAATCCGCGGCTGAGTGCCTCCCTGCTGCCTTCCTGGTGCCTTCTAGCCTCCCGCCTTTGGGATGTCTGCTCTCAGTGGTGCCTGCCCACCTGAGGACCCACAGATGTGCCTTTCCCAGCCAGAGCTTTGAATAGCTTCCCAAGATACCAACAGCCTAATCAATTGCCACTAGTGTCTGCCGAGATCCTTCTCCTACTGCTTGGGTCTAGAAGGGATCCTCGAGACGGAGAAAATGCTGCCCTCCTTCCCCATGCACCCTGTATTCCCCTCTGTGCTGGCTTCCTGGAGTTGTGATCTTGCTGTCCCACAAGCTTCATGACTTGAAGCACAGGAAGTTAACTCTCCTAACTTCCGGCAGCCCTGAGTGCATCTCCTCAGTGTCCGTCCTCATCGTCACACATCCTCCCTTCCCATCTGTGTGTCTCTGTTCTCCTCCTCTGTATCTTAGAAAGACAGTCCTGAGGTTCGGGTCTTGCTCTAATAATAATAATAAAAAAAAATCCTGACCTCATTGTGTATGTGCCCAGAAGCCAGCATTCCCAGGTGCTGAGGGCCAGGACTTCGTCATGTCCTCACGGTGCAGCCCGTATGCAATAACTCTGGAGAGGAAGATGGGAGGATGGGAGAACTGGGTGGAAGGGTATCTTGGCAACAACACGGCTAGGTCTGAGGGCTAAGTGTGCAAGCATGTCCCTGGGCAAGACCAGCATATACCCACAATCCTCTGCCTTAACCTCCTTGACCTTAATATGCAGCTGCTGCTTAGCAAGTGCCCTCGTGAGGACCCCTTGAGGCCTTGAGTCCGAACAGGAAGTGCTCAGTAGACCCTGGTCACTCCACAGTCTTTCACTGTCCACTGCCAAAGAACCAGTTTTATCCTGACGCCAATCTTAGTTTCTGTAGAAACTATTTTGTAATGAGTTCATGTTCTTTATCACAAAAGGCTTTAACTAGGTTTTCTTTAACAGAATAATTCAAGTTCTAAGAACAAAGCCAAGCCTCCTATGGTGCTGGTGCGGGGGAGGGCCAGGCCACTACTGTCCACTGCTGTCACATGGACAGACCCTCATCTTCTCACTGCTGTGTCTTGTCTGTTTTCAGGATTCCTCCTTGGCCGGACCTGCCCCCACAGCCGTCCCGCGAGCTGCCACTGTGGCCGGAGAGCAGGGCATACCTCCCAAAGTCCAGCTTCCCCTCAACGTGTGAGCTGTCCTGGGTTTGTTGGGTCCCACACCCCCATGTCCCTCTTTCACCCTATGTGGTATCTACTGTGTTTTTTGATTGTACTAGTTATATACATTGAGAGGGGAGGGAGGGAGCCAAAAGTTCAGGAGATTGTTGTATTAATTCTAGAGGCACATTGGGTCTTTGTGTTCACTCTTCGAATGCCCGCAGTGGCCAGGGCTGAGAGCAGGTGTCCTACATGGGTGATGAGAATCCCACTATGTGTACGTTCCACCATCACTGCCTGCCAAGGTTGGCATTAACAGGCAGCTGGAACAAGGAGCTGGAAGTGGGTATGAAACCCAGGTACAGTGCTATGGGACACAAGCACCTTCACATGCTTCGTAACCACTGGGCTCCACACAGGCCCCTAGCAAACCTGATTATGTCAGTGACCCTAGGACATCGATTATAAGCAAGAATCAGCATAGTCATGCCTGCAGGCCGTTGGCTGGTCAGGAAAGAACAAGCCATACCACAGAGCAGAGGCCCCTGAGAAGGTCTGGGGTGGGCAGGTGGTGACTGGACCAGGGAGGGCCAGAAGAGCTGGGGGTGGACGCTAGCCATGGACTGCTCAGAAGGACTCAGCCTTGATCCCTCCTGGGACTGCCAGCTGCATGCCATCCCCAAATACAGCCAGACAAATCCTCTGGGGGAAGGAAGGTACATTCCCTGTTTAAACAATCTGCTCTATTGAGTGACGGCTGTTTAGAAATACCCAGACTGCTCTCTGCTGCACTTAGCATGGGTTCAGGCACCTGAACACGTGTCTGGAGTGAACATACAGGTTTGGCACTCAGCATGGCAGGGACTGAAAGTTGTACAGACCCTCAGCAGGGCAGAGAGGCACTCAGGTCCAACTGAAGAATGAAGTGTATTTCCAGTTTAAAAATGCCAGAAGTAATTTGCAAAAGTAATTTGCTGAGCCTTACAAGGGTTTCCTACAAGTGGCTTAGCTCTCTGGTACATGCCTGCCTTCTCTTTAAACCAGATCAACACGTAAGCCTATGCCTGATGCTGGCTTGGAAAGCTCTGCTCTGACTAACCAATCTAAAGGAATTGTGTAACTTACTCAGTGTTTACTCGGCTTCCTGAGCAGACCGTAGCAGTGTTCCAGATGTCTTCAGGTTAAAATTCAAATTTTCGCCAACACTAAGCTGGGGTACAGTCAGCCTATGTCTGCTTTCACAAGTTTTGCACCCATGGTTCTGCGTTTGTGAGTTCCCTTGGATCAAACCAGCTGTGAATAGAAAATACTGAAAATGGAATTCCATGAAGTTCCATAAAAGCAAAACTTATGGTGCACACCCAGTACTGACTTAATGTGCACAAATGAAGCAATGTGTGGGCTCTGCCAGGCGTTGCAAGCCACTGGTGCTGATGAAAGCCTGCAGAGGTGAACACGTATGCAGACACCATTTATATAGGGGAGCCGAGCATCGCTGGATTTCAGTGCCCACAGTGGCTCTGGGCCCAATGCTTGTGAGTCCTGAGGGACAGTCATCTACCATGCTCCTGGGTCAGTTCAAGCAGCTGCGTCACAGTTGTCCCCAAGGGGACACTCCAGCGGGGATGGAGATGGGGCTGGGTGTTGGACTTGCTCCTCTTGGCGAACTGGGTGCAGGTTGCCAAAGATCTCCAAGGAAGGAGCTGTGCCTTTGCAGAGGGATGCCTGATGTGTTCCTCAGGCAGAAGGCAAGATGCAGGCCAGGACGGGAGACACTGAGCACCTCAAAGGTGACGCTCACATATGTCCAGGCTCTGACAGCTGCCACCTGCTCCTTGAGGGCCAGCAGTATCCCCTCCCCGGGTACTGATGGGGCACAAGGGTTGCTCTGCCTTGGAACCCGAGTTGTGAAAATCCTAAATATGTTTTGGGGGACTTAACTATGGATAGGCCTTCAAGCTTTGTGTGGCTGTTTAATTTGGTCTTCCTGTATCCCTCCCTGCCCTGGGGATGAGGCTGCTTTATCCCCTTATCACCCTTACACTTCCCGCCTTACCCAGGCTGCTCCGTTGGCTGATTTTCCTAAGGCTAAGAAAAAGGGATTCAAGCCAGGTGTGCCATAAGGGCAACAAGGAGTTGGATGGGAAAATGTCCACAGGCACCAGCTGTGTTGAGTTAGTGTGCATGTTACTTAGCTTGACTAAGCAGCAGACACTCTCTGGGTGAGACCTCACATCTTACTTCAGCATGCATCATCTGTTTTGAAAGCATGACCTGTTGAAATCATTGCATTTCTTATGTTATTCTCTGGGGTGAAAAGCTGAAGTTGACCTCGTCTGTTTATTAGGTAAAGCACTAGTCTGACTGTTCACTCGTCTTCTCCGGAAGCTCTGAGCTGTGAGTCCTGTGGGTACCCAGGCAAGATCGGGATTGTTCCCCTGGCTATTCTTCCCAAAGCGGAATTTGCTAAGTCACGTTCAAAGGTCTGAACTTGAACATGAGAGGGACAGCCTGTTAGAACAACCTCAGCAGATGTTGCTGATGTGTGCCGATGCAGGGTTGAGGAAGTGATGGCTGTGCGACTCAAGGCCCAGATGCTGGAGCCCATGTGGATGTCAGTGCAGGAGTAACTCCAACAGACGCTTGCCCCAAATCCTCATTGTCGGATGGCTTAGACCTCTCCAGCCAAGCTGTGTGCGTGAACCCTGAGGCCTGGCATTGCCAAAGCCTTGCATGGCTTGGTCAGCAGAATTCTAACACAAACCTGGTTTCCATGGTACAGACGTGCTCAGGGGTTGGTGGCCCCAGTATGCAGAAGGACGGTCTCTGTTTCCCAGTAGCTCCCACTAGCATACGTCGGCAGAGACACGCACTGCCACTGCTCTGGGAAGTCCGCTCTGGCCCCTGAGCACAGCCAGCCAGCTTACTAGTGCCTCTCCCAGGCTGGAGGTGCACTGCAGATCAGGCCCTGGCCAGCGCAGAGTTGAAGGTTCTTAAGTGCCCTGGATGCTGAGGCCTAAGGTTGGAACTCCCATATCTACTCCTCCATTTGCTCCCTGGAGCCCACAGCTGGGCAGGAGGGGCCTGGGGAAGCTGGGCCTCTCCGTGGCAGAGCAGCACTGAGGCACTGAGGAAGGATCACCCCTAGTCTCGTGGAGTCTCCTGGGAGCTCTACCTGTCCTCGGGTGCTTAAGGAGGAAGAGCAGGGTCTTCAGAGGGGTGCACCAAGTCTGACTTTAACTTGACTCCAGGAGAAGTCGCTGGTGTCCCCTAGCCCCAGCTTGCCTGCTTGTTCCAGGAGCAGTACCACCTCCTGGTAGCTGGAGCTTCCTATTTGATTCCAGGGCCAGGGTGTATAACTCTTCAGTTGTGGAAAAACCAAAATCTCCAAGATGCTGCAGGGAACCCAGGAGTTCTGGGCAAGCAGAGGAAGCAGAGCCCCCAGGAACCACAGCTTCAGGTACGCAGGTAGCAGCAGGCACCCCTGAATATGGGCGGGCCACGCTGGTCACATGACATGGCTCTCTGTCACTCTGTCACAAGCAGGTAACCCTGCTTCAGATTCCGGTGCCATCTCATCATGAAAACAAAAGGATCCCTTCCTATCCTCAAGGACAGTGGGGCCTCCAAATCCCTGGGAGAGGGTGGTGAATGAACTAGGCCCCATTCAGGACAAGGTAGCCCCTTCACAATTGAGACCAACCCACTCTGGGCTCCATTTATGCTTGGCCAGAGAAGTGAGTCCACTTCCCCAGGCCCCACTAGACGGAGTTTCTGACTCCCCATAGATGCCCAGCTTCTCTGACTGCCCAGCCTCAGGGGTATTCCGAAAATGGGATCCAGAATGAGCCTGACAATGAGGTGATGACTGCTAGGGCCTCAAGCAGGTGGGAAAGGGAGGATGTAAATGGGAAGAGGAGAGAGAGTTTTCTTGACAGAACACAGGGCCTGGTAAAGTCTGCCACAGCCTAGGCACACGGCGGTGCATCATCCACTGAAGCCACGTTGGGATCCAGAAGCCAGCCCTGAGGTTTGGGGGTCTGGGGTCTGCTCTCAGGACATTGCAACAGGAAGACAGGTCCCGAGATGTGACAAATCCTCTGGGATTCTGGGGCTCAGTCTCCCAAGGGACACCAAATGCAGTGCTGGCCTCAGGCTGCCCTTGAGGCATGTCATAGGCCTGGATGCTGCAGTACCCTGATGGTGTCACAGTGAGCAAGCAGCAGCCATCCCCCTGAGTGGAGAACCAGGTGGCTGGATACGGCTAGGTCTACTCTGTGCTGAGGCTTTGGCTCTAGAATGCAGCAGAAGGGCCTGGGGCTTGTTGGTACAGGCTGCTGGGTCTCTCCTGCAGTCTAGGCCCCAGAATCTGCCATCCTTCCAATGCTAGGCCTTGCTGATGCTGCCTTTCCCAGAGCACTCCTGGGGGTCCCTTCGCCATAGGTACCCATTGCAAATATTCAGTTCCCAAATTGGCTTCACAGCCACACACCTGTTTCCTTCTCCTGTGCGTTCCACACACCTTGGAGTAACCCCCTCTCTACCAGGGAAGCCTAGAAAATCGGGGGAGCCCCTACCTCCTGCCCCTGGGAGGCCTGAGCGGCCTCTGCCAGCTGAGTGGGAAGGGCAGAGGTTTGACCATACCACAGTACCCCCAGGTTCTCCCAGGATTTTTTTTGGCAGAACTTGTACCCACAGTCTTCCCAAGCTCCTGTGCCTGCTACAGTTCTTTCAGAGGATTCTACCTGGCCTTCTAACCAAAAGGGGGAAATGTCTGCTTTTTAACCCTGGCATTGCTCCAGCTGTCTGCACTCCTGTGGAGCAGGGATTTCCTCTAGGTCCAAGACACTCTTGCTGCACCCAGGGTCACCCATTAGATAGTCTTGCAACAGTCTGCAGGTGGGCACGTTTGTCTCCAGCCTGAGCTGGGTGGTAGGCTGGCAAGGAGGGCAGCAGCAGGACTCCTTGTAGTGTTGGAAAGAATCTTTTACTTATTTTAGGAGAATCATGAGCAAGCCTTTAGCTAGAGGAGAAGCGGGGTGAGACTGATGACAACACTAAAACACTTTGATTTACTCCTATTAGAAGGGAAGAGAAATCTGCAGATAATACCAGGGAACGATATTGCTGTAGAAGTGAGCAACATGGCTCATGCACTTCCAGCAGACCATGCCACACTGGCACCATCACCAGCCTGGCCAGCCAGAGCAATGTCCCAAGGTGCCAGGGGAAGAGGACAAAAGGCTGATGCCCGGCCTCTGGCTTGGTGCCCAGGCACACACCTGTAGGGGCACAGCTTTCTTTCAACCACCTACTCAGAAGAGGCATCTTCTCCTGCATGCAGAATGCAGAATAATAATGAAGACTCCTGGCACCAACCCATCCAACTCTCATCTCAGCTAAGGTGCTTGTAGAAGCACCCTGCATGAGAAGTGATCTCTGGGTGTGCCAGACTGCCTGGTGGCCCGGATGTCATGGAAGCAACTCAGGCAGTCCATGGCGGCATGGGTGGAGGCTCTCGGGCCCTTTGAGGCAAACAGAGAACAGGAGCTGGGAGGATAAAGACTTCTTTGCTCGCAGGAGTTGCTGGCTCGACAGGTTCCAACACATGGGCCCCATGTGGGGTCCTGTGGATGTGGTCCAAACCAGACCAGGCACATGACAGCCAAGAGGCGCTAGTGCGTCTGTCACTTGGAACCTGAAAGCCGCCAGATGAGGGGAGCAGCTGCAGAGACCCTGGTGAAGAGGAGCAGAGCCAGTCGTGAGGCACAAATCACTCTCCCAGCATGGTGCACCGAGTGCTCTCTCTTGAGTCACTCGGAAAGGAAAGCTGTAAAATGACACACTCCCCACCAGGGGTTGGGCCCCACCTAGCATGGGCTGCTGCCAGAGCCACAGACGCCATACCAGGAGAACAACCAGGCTGAGCCATCTGCTTCTGGTTTTCCCTCGGAAACACCCGAAGGGGGAATAAAAAATAAGAGGAATGAGATTTTGCAAGGTGAGGTCAGACTTGTTTGCATTCTGGTTCCCCCGGCAACATGCACCTAGAAGCTGAAATGGACACACTGAGCCAGAGAAAGGCTTCCTCATTCAGACAGAACAAATTCCAAGCTGCAGATGAAAAGCCTCAGTGTGTAAGTGCCTGGAACAAATGGCTACAGCACCTCCTTATGCAGGGATCCTCACAGGCACCCGTTGAATCCTGAGCCAGCCTTGCCCCAGGCCAGGCTCTTGGGGACTTGCTCATTCCCTTGGTCATGCTGGCAGCGCCCACTGTGTAGACAAGGACAGACTCTTGGTCTGTTAGAGGATTAGCTTCCCTAGCTGTGAAGCCTCAAATGCCTTTGGCACATACACAAAACTGCGTGTCTGTCACAAGGCAGACATCGGTTTCTGTCCTGCCTCCTCGGATGGCTGGGCGCCTGGGATGGGGCACAGCAGCTTGTGGCTGAGGCCTCAGGAAAGGACAAGGAGCTGGGGACAACACTTGAAGAAGGTGTGTGCACCACCTCTGTGGCGGCTGGCACCTCCCCTGCTGGCATTAATGCCCGGGCACTGACAACTTACCCAAAACTTCCTACTGATAAAAATCCAGACTTCCTGTGCAACGATGCTAATTAAAGCACTTGTTCAAATTTATTTCTTAAAGCAATAAGGATTGGGAGAATCAAGATGGCAGAATAGGGTAAGGACATATTTAAACAGATGGAGAATCATTAGCCAGTGTGAAGCAGAGGTGGCACGTTCCAGGAAATAGGAGAGGACAGAATGATGGCAGAGGGGCACCTGAAGATTGACAGACACAGGAGAGCAGTAAACAATGGTGTGCTGTTACAGTGACCAGACACCCCGTGACATTCAGCGAACAATGATCTGAACTCCACTGGCAGATGGAAATCCACAAGCAACCAGGTGGGAAGGGCCATTCACCAGGAATTCAGCAGGTGGACCCAGGCACAGAACTGCCATCCTGCTGGTCTCTATGATTTGACCAGGAGCAGAGACAGAGCAGCAGATCCCGGACAGGCAATGCAGGAACAGGGTGGATTTCACAGCCCAGTTCCATCTCCTACAACCGAATGCGTGCCATTTTGTCTAGAGAGGCAAAGACTATGGGACAATACTGTACATGCACTGAGCTGGGCGTGAACTCATTTATGACTCAGCGAACTGCAACAACATGGCATCCTACAGGTTCCACTCAACATAAGTGCAGGTAGCCCTCAGGTCTGATGGCCAGCAGATCAAGAACTCCACAAGTGGCACATCAGGCACATTTTGTATGCTGTGGCAAAGGCTTTGAGACTGCAGGAGTACAGTGAGCTGCACTTGTGCTGAGCGGGAAGTGAGCTCACTGAGCTCAGTGCATTTCAGTGGTCCAACAGGGATGATAATATCTACTTTCACATTGTACAGGTCAAAATAGGTCTGTGTGACCCTCAGACATAACAGCCAACAGGTTCCAGCAAGATGCAGAATTCAAAACACTTGTTATAAAGCTTCCTATCAACAGCGAGAAGCACATAAAGCAGGCATTTAAGGAGTATGTTACATAGGAAAATGAATCAGATGAAAGCTGATGTATCAGACATGAAGAATACAGTGGAGCAAATTAAAAGTACAGTGGGGAGTCTCCAAAATAGGATGAAGGAAGCAGAAGAAAGTGTCTCAGAATTGGAAGAAATTTCCTGTCACCAGGGAGAAACAAACAAAAAGCTGGAAGCAGAGCTGGATCAAGCTTTAAAAAAGTATTCAAGAATTGGAAGACACTATTAAAAGGCCAAATGTAAGAGTTCTGGGAGTCCCAGAAGGTGCAGAAAGAGCGACTGGGATTGGAGGTATATTCAATGAAATAATAAAGGAACGTTTCCCTAATCTAAAGAAAGAACTGGGAAATAACATCCAGGAGGGAAACAGAACAGAGTTGACTAAAAGCGATCTTCACCACAACACGTGATAATCTAACTCTCTTCAAGTGAACATAAGGAAAGATCCTTAAATATGCACGTGAAAAAGATCAACTGACATGTAAAGGAATTCCAATTAAACTCACAGGAGACCTCTCACAGGAGACTCTAAAGGCCAGAAGAGAATGGAGTGACATACTCCAGATTCTAAAAGCAAAACATTGTTGGCCTACCATAATGTACCCTGCAAAGCTTTCCTTTGTCTTTGAAAATTAAATAAAATTATTCTCTAGTAGAGAGAAGTTAAAAGAATTTGCCTCTTTCAATCCTGTCCTGCAAATGATATATAAAGATGTTCTCTTGACAGAGAAGCGGAATAGCGCCACCACACCCAAAGGAAAATGCGGAGAACATTCCAGTAAAATGACAATGGAAGACTAAATCAATGAACAACCCATTGCTAAAATGATTGAACCCAATTCCCACCTATTTATATTAACCCTGAATGTAAATGGCCTCAACTTCAGATCAGCACAGCACAGGCCGTTGCGGCCACTTGGGGAATGAATCATCAGATAGAAGATCTTCTTCTCTGTCTCTCCTCCTCTCTGTACATCTGCCTTTCCAATGAAATAAATAAATCTTAAAAAAAAAAAGAAGAAGAAGAAGAACAAGAGGAGCAACAACAAAAAAAAAATCTGAGATTCTGAGCTCTAGTCGCCAAGGTCCAGCTCTGAGTCCCTGGAGGGTCCTGAACTCACCACTTCACTGAGTTGTTCCCCCGCTGTCGGGAGGAGTCCTGGCAGTGGAGTGGCTGCCCAACCCCTGCAACAACCCATTGAGCTTCTCAGTATGCCCAGGCAGCCCTGGGATCTCCTCACCTTTGCAAGTGCCAAGAGTGTGTTTCCCTGCCACCTGTATCCAGGGTCTGCTGTAGGAGTGAGTAGGGTGAGGATCTGAGGCTTCTCGAGGTGACACAGCCCCCCACAGAGAGCACACAGGCTCTTCATGTTGGCTCCACTCCAATACGTGCTTTTGTTGTGCCCTCTGCCCGCAGGCACCTGGCGCTCTATGCCTACAAGCCCCAGAAGAACGACGAGCTGGAGCTGCGCAAGGGCGAGATGTACCGGGTGCTCGAGAAGTGCCAGGATGGCTGGTTCAAGGGAGCATCTCTGAGGACCGGGCTCTCTGGGGTGTTCCCCGGCAACTACGTGACGCCCGTCTCGAGGTGAGGTCCTGGGCTGACATGGAGGGAGGCCCTGCAATCGTAACATTGACAGCTCTTCTTGGCAAGCAGTTCCCCTCCTAGTGGAGTCGGCATATGCTGGCTGCTGGCTGCTGGCTGCTGGCTGCTGGCAGCTGAGAGGACATGCATGGGAATAGGGGATGCTGGACTCTGAGCAGGGATGGGAAGGTCCCCAGAGTGTTGTCTGCAGCATGCAAGCTGGTGTGTGCAGGGTGTGTACTCTTGTGCGTGCGTGTGTGTGTGTGACAGATAAAGCACACATACAGTGTGTGCACAGTGTATATACCACATCAGTATGTGTCACATGTGTTGTGTGAGTGTGTACAGATGGTGTTTATGTGTCTAAAGTGTGTTGTGTGTGCCTGTGGATATATATGTATGGATGGAATATGGCTACAATGTATGTGAACACGTATGTATGTGTGGACACAGCATGTGCAGGCAATGGGGGTGCATTTGTCCACTGTGTGTTGTCATATACATGTTGCATATGACACAGAGATATGTCCATAGTATACATGCAAAGCAAAAATGACACATTCACAAAAGTAACCACAAGGCTTTTTCTTCTTAGTGCTTTCGTATGTTTTATAAATCTCTATTTTATAAATATCATCTTACCGATTCACCAAAGAGGTAATTTGGAATTATCTGAGGATTTTTTGCACTGAACTGAGGGGTCTAATAACCAGTTTCAATCGAAACAGCCTTAACCATGGACTGCCCAGGCAGGCCCAGCAGGAATTAAACAGAAGACATGGCCCCTGGGTTTCTACCACCCTTGGGACAAGACTGAGACAGAGTAAACCTCACCCAGACTTGGTTTTGCTCACTGGACTGACCACTGTTTGTCATGGCTATTTAGGAGATGGTAGAGGAGGGCTCCCCCAGCCGGTGCTGCTTGCACTGCGCCCTGCTTCAAAAGCTAACTGCCAAGAGCCTTGGGGGAACACACAGGGACGCTGCTGGTGATGTGCACTGTCCACAGGCACCTGGGCTGCTTTATGGCTGTGCACTGGCTTCCCCAGGATGTGTGTGAGGATGTAAGCCTGCCCTTCCCCATTGGTGTTTATGGCCTACCCTTCCCCATGGCGCTCGTGGGTTGCCCTTCCCCATGGCGCTCGTGGGCTGCCCTTCCCCGTGGTGCTTGTGGGTTGCCCTTCCCCATGGTGCTCGTGGGTTGCCCTTCCCCATGGTGCTTGTGGGTTGCCCTTCCCCATGGTGCTCGTGGGTTGCCCTTCCCCATGGTGCTTGTGGGTTGCCCTTCCCCATGGCGCTCGTGGGTTGCCCTTCCCCATGGCGCTCGTGGGTTGCCCTTCCCCATGGTGCTTGTGGGTTGCCCTTCCCCGTGGTGCTTGTGGGTTGCCCTTCCCCGTGGCGCTCGTGGGTTGCCCTTCCCCATGGCGCTCGTGGGTTGCCCTTCCCCATGGTGCTTGTGGGTTGCCCTTCCCCATGGTGCTCGTGGGCTGCCCTTCACCATTGCCCTCATGGGCTGCCCTTCCCCATGGCCCTCATGGGCTCTCCTTCCCCATGCTGGTGTCTTGGGCTAGCTTTTTCAATCTGAAGTGTAGCTTGATGATGAAGCTGCCTACCTCCCTGAGAGCTTAGAGGAATACAAGATGACTGATGTCAAGGCAGGACACATTCACCCCAGGCCATGGTGGGGCTTTGGGACATGACCAGAGTACATCAGCCTGGCTCCTGCAGCTGTATCCCTTATCCAACACAGTCAAGACCCCTGGCTGGACACTAGCCTTGGAGGGGAACTGGGACTGCCTGCATGCCCCGTCAAATGCAGAATATCTGCCTCCCGCCTCCTCTGCCTGTTGAATTCAGTCTGACATGTCCTTCAATGCTGTGTCTGCTTGCTGGGGGAAGTCTTGCCTCGTCACACCTTTCCATGCTGTGTGCTCAGAATGTATGGCTCCACCTGCCACGTGTGCTGAAGGGCCTGCCAGTACGTGCTAATCATATGGTCAGTTCTAGATGTGTGAAGACCCCTTACCTGCTAGCTCCTGGCCAGAGTCCATGTTTCCAGCCTTGTACCCCTGGCTCCTTGCATGCCATTTGCTTGTATGAGATGTCTACCAAAAGCTGGCCAATTAAATGATCCAAAGCTGACCTCAAGGGCCGCCTACCCGTGTCGCCAGGGTTGTTACTATAGGGAGGGTTCCAGTTAGTACAAGTGGAGCTCCTGAGATCACCCATGCTGCCAGGCTGCACCCCTGCTCGTGTACCTTGTCAGTTGCTCACGTCTTCTGCCACGTGTGGCTTCTGAAGAACCTCAGTGCTAGAGGAGAAGCCAGCATCACTGTGGATCCAACCTTGGTAACTGTGCTATTGTGAGGTTACCAGTTCCCCAGAGAAGAAATCAGCAGGTGCCGTCTGTCAATACCTCCCAGGTCCAGCTTCCCCAATCCATAAATATAAATAAATAAGTATTTATTTCCGTCTTAAAGAAGAGGGAAAAGGACAGGGACCTCCCACGATGATTCATGCTCTGGATGGCCACAACACCCTCGGCTGGGACCCAAGTCAGGAGCTAGAAACTCAACCCTCGTCCCCCGCATGGGTGATAGAAAACCTATTATAGGAGCCATCAGCGTTGCCTTAGAGGGGGTGTGTTAGCAGAAACCTGGAGTCAGGAGCCAGAGCCTAGACTTAAATCCAGTGTGGTATATGGGCATCCTTAGTGCTAGGCCAGGTGCATGTATCCGTCTTCAAAAATGATCTCCTTAGGTGGAAGAGAGTTCAACAGGAAGTAAGTGCGATTTAATGGTTCCTGCCTGTGGCTGGCCTGCCCCAGAGCAGCTCTGAAAGCTAGGGAGAAACAGTACTGCCCTTGTGGTTCTCTTGGCTTCCTGGGAGGCTCCTTCCCCCACAACCCTCGTGTAGGAGCCCCCACTGGACACTGCCCCTTGGAATCTCCGCTGTTGAAAGTCCTAGTCCGGGAGAGAGGGGCCAGCAGAGCTGTGACTGCCCTTGTCTCAGGCGTGAGCTCCAGCGGACAGGACAGGAAATTACCCAGCTCCTGTCAAAAGGAGGCCACCCTTGTCTCCTGGAGACAGAGCCTGCAGAAGGTTCCTAGTCCCCAGCTCTGCTGTGCGTTGCACCCCGATAGCCAGGACTTAGATTTGGTGCAAGTACACGTGGAGGCTAACCATCCCTCTTCCCAGCTGATACATCGGTTCCTCTTATATAAAACTGATTTCAGCTGGAAGCTCCAAGGGTGAAGGGACATGCATTTCTGGTGTGAAACTGCAAGTTCCTCGACATCCCTCGTGAAGAATTCGCACTGACTGAGCCCTTTCCTGTAGCTGGCAGAAGCAAGATGATGCCAGGTGCAGAGGGAAACTGGCCTGGCTCTGGGTCTAGGGGCTCAGCTGTGGGACTGAGGCACCCACTCTTCCACTGGTGTGGGAACACACAGCTCTGTTGAAACACGTGCCCTGCTCCAAACACTGGATTGTTTGGAAGTATTCTTGTGTTTCATTTGCTCTTTCTTGAATGTTCACCTTGAGAGTTGGCCTTCATGAAGCCTTTTGTGGAGAAAACCCCTCAGTGCAGCTCAACTTCTGGGCATTGTCCACTACGGGCACCGCCCTGGTACTGTGCTGAGATTTTGTCCTGGGGAAGACTTGGTTATGTTTCTCAGAGTCCACAGGCAAGAGTGGGCTTTGCCAGCGCCTGAGTGATTTGAGTTTGTCTAAGCCTTATTACCAACTTGATTTTGTTTCACTCCTCTAGGGTTCCTGGAGGAGGGGCTGGGCCTCCCCGGAATAATGGGGTCGGAGGGTCTCCATTGGCCAAAGGGATGGCTACAACCATGCACCCTGGTGGGGGAAGCCTGAGCAGTCCAGCCATTGCCAGCAGGCCTGCCCTGCCCCTCACCTCGCCACAGACCCATGCCCAGCACCAAGCAGCTTCCTTGTCCACCGGCACCTGTCAGCAACACATGGCCCAGCCAACGGCCAGCCAGACCCGAAATACCATCCCAACAGGTATGGATACAACCTCCCAGAAGATGGGCAAGGGGGTTTGTGGAATGAAATCAGGAGACATATTTTGGCCCAGGTCTCGAGCAAGCCATGCAAGGGTGAGTTGTATATGCTTGCAATCACAGGTGTCTGGTTCTCTGGGAAGCATGCCTCATACCGTGGTAACCACTCTGGCAGCTGAAAAGACAGTTCACACCACCCTTGTTCATACCTGCCCTCTATCTGGTAACTGTGGATGGCCACACGGATCCTCTTATACCAGCACTCAGGGTCTCCCAGCGAGGCAGCATCTCCCACTTGAGCTGGTTTTGTACACAGACCCCAGGATTCCCTGCCTAAAACGCTCTGAGCCTGGTAAGACTGATGGCTTTTGGTCCTACCTCTTGTGACATCATTTTCAACTAATAGGGTGATTGATCGTCAACCAATAGGTTGGCTGTCGATCAATAGGCTGATAGAAATTAGACACAGCACATGTTCATGCTGCTGTCCATTTCTCTTTGTGGTTCAATCCTGGGGGCATCACCTCAGCCGCTTAATCTAGCACCATCATCTCCAGGCCCTCTGTGTAGACACTGACAGTAGAATTATGCTGTGACTGTCATCTTTGACTTTGGGACTTAAGCACCCATGTGAGTTGAAAGCTAAGTCCCATTCAAAGGTAAACCCATCTGGGAACTCAGCTGGGGCTGGAGAGCATAGCTGAGGTCCAAACCACAGCCTAGTCCAGGAACCTGCTAGGTAACCTTTCAACACAGTAGAGCTAGCCACATCACCACCAGAGTAGGAGGGCAGGACACGGAGCCCTTCTCCCACGGTAGCCCTGGCCTCCTGAAGCCAGCTCTGTCTTTCTCTGCACCAAGGAGCCTGGGTTCTTTGGAGCAGTGAGAAGCATTGTTTGTTAAATGAGTTGGCCAAAGACAAGCCTGGGCAATGTCTGCTGTGAAGCTGAGGCAGTTCCCAGCAAAGCAGAGGCTGTATTTTCTCCCAAGTCACTGCTGATGGGGTGAAGGGCATGAGAGGATGCTGCGTGTCCCCTCTCCAAGTTCCTCCTGTCTACCTACGTGACGTGCCAAAGTCAGCCTGCACAGTCATGTGCCAGCACAATTGTGGCATAAGTGGAACAGACAGAACTGTTGGCAAACCTGAATGTGATGTCATTTAACGTAAATGTTTTATAATCTAGTCCATTCCAGCCGGTGTCTGGGGCTGTCAGGAAAGGGATGCAGCTGAGCTGGGAGAACTGAGGGCGCTGGTGGAGGGAGGGTCCAGGTATGGCACCTCCCATCCCAGGATGATTTTTGTGAGGACTTCCTGCCAGGCCATTTCCTATGCACTGTGTACATTGTAGCTGCTCTCATGAATCATGTTAGAGAAGGAGAGTAGTCTGTGATTGAGTCTACCACATCAACAGATATTGCCCTGAGAAGAGATGTTGCCGTAAGAGGACAACAGTTTACTGAATATCCCCAGGGGGCAGTGTGCAGCACAGCTGGTGTTTGGCACCTTGGGTGCAGAGGAGCCAGGCAGGGAAGGTGGGAGGTGACAAGGACCGCCTGACCCTATGCGGCTTGCAGTAATAACACAGGGCACCAAGCTAGTGAGGAGGCAGATTGGGCCTGACTGTTAGATAGCTGAGTGGAAGACTCAGGAAGACTGGGAGCCAGGTCCACTTCACAGGCCCTTGGACTGGTGAGCTGCACTGGGGACAATGACAGCCTGGCCTGGGAGATAGCACAGGGACCCTGATTCTTTGAGGAAAAGTGATGACATGGATTTGAGAGATGTGGTGAGTGTGATGGCTGTGTCTACCTGACTGATGGGGTGGGGTTCAGACCATGAATTAAGAATCCCAGTCATTACAGTAGAAGGCAATTCTGGTTTGCCCAGCCTGGGCTGTAGGTAGCAGATAGACCCACAGACCTGTCTGGCAATAGATGCTCCTCGGCCTGCTTCCATTCAGCAGATAAACTGAAGAGGTGCCCCATGGAGCTCTTTGGTCGTAAGAGGCATGCAAGTGTTGGGAAAATGCCCCTTCCCTCAGGGGCTGTAGGGGTGGGCTTTGGATTCTTGTCTCTGGCTTCATGCAGAGCAGTGTCCATACGCTGTAATGGTGGGATTAGCATGGAAGAAGCCGTGCGGGTGGTCTGAGCACTGCCCTGGTTATACAGCCTGCAACACTAACTCTTCCATCCTGGAGGTTCCCCAAGTGCCAACTCAGTTTCAGATAGATCTCTTTGGTTTGAACGAGCCGTGAATGAGTCCTGCGATTATGCACACCTGGCTGACAGGGCTCTGGGGAATAGTCCATTCCTATACACTCCAATAATTATGGAGAAACCTTGCCCCACCCATCACTTAGCTCATTGGTATGAGATGACCTGCTGGTGTTTGTGGTAGGCTCCAGCTACCACAGACACCACCATAGCTATCACCATAGGCAGGTGATTGGGTGATCCACACCATCACCAGTGGCATGACAGGAGACATTGTCTTGACCCCAAAGCACCAGAAGCCAAGCCCCAGAGCACACTCTAATCCTAAACACCTCATACAGCAGACCCAGTGTGCCCTGTGGCGGGGAACGGCTGAGCAACCCGTGGCCGGTGGTCAGTGGGCACCCCAGCAAGGCCACCCTGCCTTGTCTGAATAGTAGCCAGCCTGATGACTTTCTCCTCTAAGCTGTGCTAGAAATGTTCCAAATGGGAGAAAAATATGTAGCCCTGCCAGTTACATCTCCCCCTAAACAATAACAAGCAGCATCAAAAGAAATTGGTGTGGCTGGGAGCAGTGCAGCACAGGTCTCAGTTGTCCATCACCATAGTAACCAGGGTGGTGTGATGAGCATTCTCTGCCATCAGTTAAATTTTATATTTAGAGAGAGGATGACTAAACAGCTCCCCCAGGACACCGCAGCCCTGTGCCTGTCCCCACACTGTTGCTGTCACAGTTAGGTTACTGAATCCTGTCAGGAAATTGAATGCCACTGGATTCCCACAGCATTTTCCACTTAATTCTGCATTTACAGACAGAAAAAAAAACACTGCTGACAGTATAAGCAATGGCTTGTTCGCTGCAGTAATTGCCCATTTCAGCAGACCCCAGCCCTGGCAGTCAGGAGGTATTTCGACAATGTTCTCATCTCTAGCCAAAGTCAGACAGTTTGACAAAGACTTAATTGCATTGGCCTTAGCATCCAATATGATTTGTTCTACATGATTAATGGTACTCTGTTCTGAAAGAGCAGAGACCCCCTTATGGAGCCAGTGTTCCAGGCATCCCCATGTCAGGGCTTGGCAGGGCGGGAGCCCTGCACAGTCTTGTTTTCATCAGCGAAGCAGTACGAAGAATGAGCCGGCTGTCGGTGAGACAGTCTGTGAGAGGCAGGGAGATGAGAGCAACCAGACCATCCCTGTTTATGACCCAGGTAGTGAGAAAGGTGAGAACGCAGGGTGCTGTGACAGGGTCTGCATAGCACAGGTGCAGCGTGAAGAGATGCTTTCTCAGTCTGTGTCGAGCAGGAGGAAGGAGAGGGGGCGATGAGGAGGAGCACGAGGAGGGATACTGGCTGGGATTCTCAAGGATGAAGCGAAGATCAGGCGAAGCAGAAAGTAGGCTCCAGGCCAAAGAACCAGCAAGGGCAAAGGCATGGAGATGAGAAGGCCGTGGTCCCTGTCTTGTGAGTAAAACAGAGGCGTGGAGGGACAGGTCCTTCTGTGTTGATGACCATTGGCATTAAAGCTGCAAAGTTGGTGGAACTCATTGTGTAGCAGGGTGGAGCATCCTACCAGAGCGGGGGCTGCCTGAAGAATCCCAAGGCCAGTGGAGACAAGTACATTTGGAAACAACAGAAAAAAAAAATTACATGAAGCTAAAAAGCAAGGCAGCAATGGGGAACCTGTTTTTTTCCAAAAGGCATTTGGACATTTATGTCATCATAGGCCTTACAAAATATCCATGAAAAATATCATCCTGCTATAGATTTACTGAACATTGAGTTGCACCTGCAGTTGTCTTAGAAGTACCAAGCCAAATGATTTTGTGGGCCTTCCATGGCCTGTAGGCCAGATGCTCCCCACCATGGCTTTGGACCATGTGAAGGAATTGAGATTTTCATCCAAAGGACACTGGAACCTATTCAAGGGTCAGATGTTAGTGTTCAGAAGATGGAGCTGAGTCTTCCTGAGGAACGAGGAGAGGCAACGGAACAAGAGTGTGTTAGAGACTAGTTTTTGAGACATAGGCATCAGGCAACCAAAGATAGTGATCCCTGAGGAGGTTGTAGACTGCACGATAAGAGGGACTGGGAGGCCCAGAACATTCCTAAACGTGGAATAAAGAGGAGACTGCAGGACACAGCCTACTACAGTTTGCAGAGGAGAGAGATGTTCAAAAAGAAAATCCAGAGGCTACAGAGCATTCCCCAGAAGATGAGCTGAGAACTAATCAGCATTTGCCGATGAGAAAGCTGCCCAAGCCAAGAAAGGATTAGCATTAGCAAGGAATAGTGCCTGCTTTCACCAGCCAGACTGGAAAACAAAACAAGTAGACCAAAACAAAAAGCACAGAATGTTGAATAGTACACACTAAAGGCCATGGCTTGGTCCATAGGAATGTTATCCCCAGACAGAGCACAGCTTCAGTTCCCCACTGAATCTTAAAAGCAAAATTCCATGCCTGTGTCTCAGAACAAACTCTGGAATATGTTTAGTAATGAAAGCAAGCCAACTCTAACAACATAGAAGTCATAATACCGGTGTCTAGTCAAATTTACCGGGCATGCAAAAAAATAGGAAGATATGTTCTACTATAATAAAGAGATCTTTCAATGTAAATAAGACGATAAGACAGATATTATAATTGCATTGTCTATATTCAGAAAAGTAAATACAGGCATAGAGAAGTTATTGAAAAATCCAAATCGCACTTCTACAAATAAAAAACAGTATGTTAGGCCAAGAGTACACTAGGTTTGAGACATTGCTTAAGATAAGTAATAGTGA